CTCTCACTTGGATCCTACTACCGTGTCGACAAACTGTTTTCATTTTGCGCCGCTACGCGCTTTTTGATGCCGCCGCCAACAAGGCAAACAGTTGCTCCTGCTCCAGCTCCAGCTCCATTGCAAGCTTCCCGCCCCCTCGCTTTTCACGGCGAGTTTTTCAATTGATTTTCGCGGTTTGCTTTTGCCAAGGCCACTGCTTGCGGAGTTGTTGGAGGGAGGAAGGGAAGAGAAGGACTGTTGCACCTGCGAGCCCTTCGAGTTTGTTGCTGCTGCTTCAACGCTTCTTTGTGTGCTGCATTTTGATGGCTGGGAAAAGGGGATCTCCCAAAAAATATATATATAAAAAGTCTAAAAAAAAGGTAGAAAATTTCCTCCATAGAAAGTTTAAGTGCTTTGTGGTTGGCAAGTTTTTCCTTTTGACTTCTCCATGTTCCGCTTCTTATTCCGCCAACAATTTCGACTCGTTTTGTTCCCTGCTGCTGCTATTTTTTTGTACTTTGCCTTTGATTGATTGATTGGCCTCCATCGGGGCGATAAGTTATCGATTAGCATTCTCCTTTTTGACTTCGAAACGACGACGGTTTATCGTTGCTGTTTTTGCTTTTGTTGTTGTTGTCTCGGTCATTGTTTGGTTAATTGCTCATCATCATTATCTTGGAGTGGAGCCTGGGATTTACTGCTTCCGCTTTAGAGTCTCTCTGGTTAAACTGTACTTGTAAACGATATTAGCTGTTAAATGTTTATGACTTAATCAAGGAATTTAGGAGTAATTTTAATGATTTGGAAAGTTTTTACTGCAAATTATCTGATATTCCCCTGAAAAGTCCTGACCGTTAAGCTTAGGTTCTAAATAACTTCCATTGATATGAAGAATTCTGTTGACGATTTAACAGTTTCAAGGAACTTCATGAAGTTAATATATATTCAGCCTCAATTACCATTAATTCTCTTATAAGTATCATCTAACCTTAAGTATTTTAAAAAGACAACAAAGTACATTATTCATCAACTGCAAATGAGTGCATTCCTCTTGATATCACACCTTCCTGGAATCGCATTCCATGTGCGGTTTGTTTGCCATGGGTGTTGACTGTACCTGGAGGGGCTAGCAGCACTTGCTACTTATTTGCTCGTTGGTGTCGTCTTCCCGCAGTGTCTTCAGCTGTTTGTTTAATTAAAACAGTCAGGTTGTAGTTGTAGTTGTCGTTGTCTTTTGCTGTTGATGCTGTGCTACCAACTTTGGTAACAGCTTCCGCCCGACGAGGCGAGACGAGACGACCTCTTTAGTGCAGTGAAGCGCAGCCATTCACCGATCGGAGATCTCTCCATATATACACCACACTCACATATACACGTATATAATATATCTGCATTCTCGAGTCTTTAGCAAACATGGCCAGGAAAGTCAGAGCCAGATCTGTAAGCCATCTTCAAGAGCTGGAGAGCTTGGGCAAACATCGTTGAGACTTGTTGGCAGCGTGATTTTGTATAAATTCTCTCGGCACAATGATTGGCAAAAAGACATGCATTCGGTGCGAGTAATAATTTGTTACTCGTAACGAGCTTGTAGCGTCTGAGCCGCACACGCTTGTTAACAATTAAATAAACAATATGAGTCTGCACTAAATACGCGCCAGAGAAACTCCGAATCACTAAGCAAACATGGCCAAGTCGATCGGCTCAAAAATCAACATTGGTAGATGTAGAATCCGAGTGTCCCGGAGAGCAGATCCATTCGTCACCGCCACTTGAGACATTTTTCTCTATTAAAAACAATATTTATGCATTCTGGCTTTTTATTTCTCCTCCACTCGAGAGAAGCACGTTTGCTATTATTTCCAGGCCATTTCCCATGAACACAATCCACCTATTAGCCGTACTTGTTGGCCGGCAATCAGAACAGGGCCCAAGACCGTTCCCACTGAGGACCCAAGATCCCATGTGCCGGAGCATACACTCTTGCCACTTGAGGCTTTAATAACAAGAGCACGGTGGTGCCACGGTGGTTGCCTCTCCGCCACACCACTGGCCAAATGTGGAAGCAGTTCTGAACATGAACATGAACGTGAACGTAAATGTGAACGTGGCTTTTCCATAACCAAACACATGTACATACATATACGCCTTTCCCTCTTTATTTTCATTTCGGTCCGGTTGGGTCTGCCATTTTAGTCACGTTCCCTGCATTTCAATATGATTTTCCTGCGTCGGACAAACCAATTAGACTTTCCCCCGTTCCTTCCGTTCGGTGATTGTCGCATTGTTTTGGCTTACGGCTAATTTTCACTCTCGGCCTGAAGAAAATGGTAATACTCGATTTCCTGCTAAGCATTTCATTACTTTAATTCGGGGAATGTTCCCTGACTCGAGCATTCTGTTAAGAGAAACTTGTATCCACATATGTATTCTTTTTTATCTGTAATAGTTTTAAATTTCAAATTATGGCACTCCAACCTTGACGTATGACAGCCACCGGATTCTTTTCGGTTTCCGTCTGCCATCTGAATTTGTCATCCGAGTAGGAGGCCATTGCGCAATCATCTCCACAACCGATAGACGCCTCCATCTAGATAGATGTATATGTATATTCGTTGAATGCATTTGCTGTAATCGATAGCAGTCGACTCACGCCTGGCATTGTTTCTCACGATCCGATTGCCGATTGCCTGCTGCTGCCCACATTTCGATATTGGATTTCAACGTTTATTTTTGGCGCTACCCTCGAGTGGTAATCACAACACTTGGGCTTGGGCCTGGTCCTGGTCCTGGGCTTTCGCCCCCAATCCAGCCCAGAAACATTTTCCGTGGCGTATTTACTTAATTATTTTCAAGTGCTCGGCAAACATTTTAACACGAAAAATGTTTCACGAAGAGCCGCACTCGGCAACTTATTTTTCGGGGGTGTTGTATTGGCCGAAAAGGGACCTTCGGGGGATGGATGATGATGATGATGATGGACGACGACTAACGCACACAAATGTTATTAATTAAAATGTCATTCGTTCAGAAAAACAATGAAAGGACTTTCAGCTGCGAGAAATGTAAAGTGTAAAGTGTAAAGTGGGGGAGGAGGAGCAGCACAACAACTACACTTTATTCGCAGCTGCCGTTGACAGTTTTTCCATAAAGCTTTAAAGTCTTTAGACTTCAGGCTCTCTAGTCCGGACCACACGCAGCTGAGATCCCGAACTGAAAACTGAAAACTGAAACTGAAAAAACTGAAACCGAGACGAGATGGCCGCAAAAGCCACAAATATGTATGTCACTTGACACTTGCTTAAAACTGTATCTCGTAGATAAAATTCGTGACTTTGAGCACAGAAGCTGCTGGCGAGTAAATTGCCCTTCACTTGGGTCTGTCCAGCTGTCAATTTTGGGAGCAAGTATCTCTGGCCATCTACGGGTATCCTTTTCTCCATTGGAGCAGCATCTTGGAGCAGCTGCCAGGGGACTCGACCACAAACCGCTGCCATCGACATCGGCAGCTGCCACGCCGTACATGAATGTATATAAAGAAAAAGGTGTCACCCATATATATAATGCTCACTTAGTATCGGGAATGAGCCGAGAGCGGGACTCAACTTGATGGGTGGCTTTACAGCCTCCATTTTGAGTGCGCCGCAAGTGAGCAATTGTCTTGAATTAATTTCTGCCTCATCACATCCAATCCATCAGCGTTTCACACCCTTCTTCAGATGGAGAGCCAAAGCAAACACTTTCATCAAGCACACACTGAGAGAAAATATAGTTTTTTTTTAATTACTGATAATTATTAGTAGAGAGAAGAATACATTTTAAGAAATCTAAACATTTACTTGTAAGGTAACTAATTTGGTATAATTAAATATAGATAACAGGCTTGACTTTATATCAGACTAGACGTAGTTTGTTTAAGTTAAGCTTAAACTAGTTCAAATACAATCTGATTAGCAACAAACTTGGTTACCAATCGGAATTTGTCATACACTGACCTTAAAATTAAAAGAATTCATTTAAAACCAAACATTTAAAATATTGTGTAGGTGGTAGGTAATTATTTACATGATATAGGAAATATATTTGGAAATCGTTAGATTTGTGTAGCTTCATAAGTAAACATTGAACATGAAATTCAGGAATCAATATTTAATATCAACTAAAGAATAGTTCTAGTCAAAGTAATTCTTTAAATAAGTGGATTTTTGAGTTCAGAAACTGAATTTTAAAAGATGTACTATTTTGTCAAAGATACTTCATGAGACCTATAGTATTACCTTATTTAATCATTTAAAATATCGCACTATATACTATACTTTTCTTTCTGTGCACTTAAACCAAGCGCATGCAGCCAGCAGACGCCGTCAAATTTAATAAAAATCACTGATTTTGATTGATGCGCCTCTTGGTCAGCAGCAGCAGCAGTTCCAGAATGGGAATTGGACTCGGAATCAGTACCAGAATCATCAGCGGGGACAGCCCGGCAAACGTCAGCAAATATTGGCAGAAGGGTTGACAATCGCTGAGGATTCAGGGGAGTAGTATGAGTATGAGTATGAGTAGTGAAGAGGGGTGCCTGGGAGCTGGCGACTATGGAAGTGAATGTGGGGTTGGAGTGCCGAGTGCTTGACATGTGACATGGACGTGTCGTCCAAGTGTCGCTCCGCTCAATTGAAACAAATGAAGCGCAAAAGTTCTCGGGAGAGAGACCAGAAACAGGAAAGAGCAGTTACCACTTGTCGACGCTCCATCCGCGATCCATTATAAACGCTATTGCTATTTCACTTACTTGAGCTCTGACGTCTGTTGGAAAATCTAGAGTTGAAAATCAGTTGATTTTCGGAAGTCGGGCAGTTAAAAGCTACATTAGATGTGGGTCCTTAATGCGTTGCTCCAGTAAGAATCATAATTCGGGATAAACATTCCATTATTATCTAAATATAATATTATTTAAGAAAGTTTGTTATAAGGAAGGATCCCTAAATAGTCGACTAATTAGAAATCTTTCCTCTTTTTAATTCCAGCTAGGCCACGCCGTTTGTCGAGCGTTGACAATTTGACGCTGAGCTGACTGTCTGGAAGAAAGAAAACTCGCTTTTCCGGCTCTCTCGAGGCGCCTCCACGCGGAGCGAGGTGCAAGCGCAGAGAAGGATAGAAAGGTGGAGCTCGGCACCACCACTACGGCACAACCCGAGGGGTTTCAAGTCACCCAAAATAACTACACTAACACGCACAAAATGAGCCACAATCGACTGAAGGTCCTGGGGCAAGGACACGCCCTCTCACTCGTACTCGTCCTGATCCTGACATCCTGCAGAGCGGACGGACCGCAGCACAGTCCCGACCATGGTCTAGGCATGGGCATGTCCGGACACGGCCTGGACGCGAGTCCGGCGCCAGGATATGGAGTTCCGGCCATACCAAAGGATCCCAATCTGCGGTGCGAGGAGATCACCATACCCATGTGCCGGGGCATTGGCTACAACATGACATCCTTTCCCAACGAAATGAATCACGAGACCCAGGACGAGGCCGGCCTGGAGGTGCACCAGTTCTGGCCCCTGGTGGAGATCAAGTGCTCGCCCGATCTCAAGTTCTTCCTGTGCAGCATGTACACCCCCATTTGCCTGGAGGACTACCACAAGCCCCTGCCCGTCTGCCGGAGTGTGTGCGAGAGAGCGCGCTCTGGATGTGCACCCATCATGCAGCAGTACAGCTTCGAGTGGCCGGAACGCATGGCCTGTGAGCATCTGCCCCTCCACGGTGACCCCGACAACCTTTGCATGGAGCAGCCCTCGTACACGGAGGCTGGAAGCGGCGGCAGCTCGGGCGGATCAGGAGGCTCCGGCAGCGGCTCTGGATCGGGCGGCAAGCGGAAGCAGGGCGGAAGTGGCTCCGGTGGAAGCGGAGCCAGCGGCAGCGGCGGCTCCTCGAGCAGCGCCAAGTGCCGCGGACGCAATTCAAAAAACTGCCAAAACCCCCAAGGAGAAAAGGCAAGCGGAAAAGAGTGCAGCTGCTCGTGCCGCTCCCCACTCATCTTCCTGGGGAAGGAGCAGCTCCTGCAGCAGCAGGCGCAGTCGCCAATGATGCATCATCCGCACCACTGGTACATGAACCTCACTGTGCAAAGGATCGCCGGCGTGCCAAACTGCGGCATACCGTGCAAGGGTCCGTTCTTCAGCAACGAAGAAAAGGACTTCGCCGGCCTCTGGATAGCTCTGTGGTCGGGTCTGTGCTTCTGCAGCACGCTCATGACCCTAACCACATTCATCATCGACACCGAAAGGTTTAAGTACCCGGAGCGGCCGATCGTCTTCCTCTCCGCCTGCTACTTCATGGTGGCCGTCGGCTACTTGTCCCGGAACTTCCTGCAGAACGAGGAGATCGCCTGCGACGGCCTGCTCCTGCGAGAGAGCTCCACGGGTCCGCACTCCTGCACCCTGGTCTTCCTGCTCACCTACTTCTTCGGCATGGCCTCGTCCATTTGGTGGGTCATCCTCAGCTTCACCTGGTTCCTGGCAGCCGGCCTGAAGTGGGGCAACGAGGCCATCACCAAGCACTCGCAGTACTTCCACCTGGCAGCCTGGCTCATCCCCACGGTGCAGTCCGTGGCCGTGCTCCTGCTGTCAGCCGTGGACGGCGACCCCATTCTGGGCATTTGCTACGTGGGCAACCTCAACCCCGATCACCTGAAGACCTTTGTGCTGGCCCCGCTCTTCGTGTATTGGTGATAGGAACCACCTTCCTCATGGCCGGCTTCGTGTCCCTGTTCAGGATTCGGTCGGTGATCAAGCAGCAGGGCGGAGTCGGAGCCGGCGTCAAGGCGGACAAGCTGGAGAAGCTCATGATCAGGATTGGCATCTTCTCGGTGCTGTACACCGTCCCGGCCACCATTGTCATCGGTTGCTACCTGTACGAGGCGGCCTACTTCGAGGACTGGATCAAGGCCTTGGCCTGTCCCTGTGCCCAGGTGAAGGGACCCGGCAAGAAGCCCCTCTACTCCGTGCTGATGCTCAAGTACTTCATGGCCCTGGCCGTGGGCATCACTTCGGGTGTGTGGATCTGGTCGGGCAAGACCCTGGAGAGCTGGCGCCGTTTCTGGAGGAGACTCTTTGGGGCGCCCGATCGCACGGGTGCCAACCAGGCGCTGATTAAGCAGCGTCCTCCGATCCCACATCCCTACGCCGGATCCGGGATGGGCATGCCCGTGGGTTCGGCGGCGGGCTCGCTGCTAGCCACGCCGTACACCCAGGCGGGCGGCGCCTCGGTGGCCTCCACCAGCCACCACCACCTGCACCACCATGTTCTCAAGCAGCCGGCGGCCAGCCACGTATGACATGGAGAGTCGGGGGGAGCATCGACCATGGGCGGCGGCACCCTCGGCGGCGGTGGCGGCGGCAGCACCATCGGGGGCGGCACCCTGGGCGGCGGCAGCGTGCTGGGTCACGGCACGGCGATGAGCAGCAGCACGGTCGGCATGGGCCCCTGTCCTCCCCCCGGCACCATGATGCACGGAGCGAACGGTGGCAATGGCGGCAATCCGGGCAATGTCTACGGCAATGGCAACGGCAACGGCGGCGTGGGCGTGGGCGGGCAGAACACCGCCCCGGGATCCGTGATCGATTCACGGGCCGTCTCCGTGGTGGTGACGCTGCCGGGCGGCCCGGGTGCCCAGCATCCGGGTCAGGCGCTGAGCGACTACGGTCCCATATAGTTAATGGTACGCCCGGACACCGCGCACTGGGTCTCGACCAGCAGCTTCAGTCAGCTGTAGCCGCTCAAGGTCGTCGAATCGCACGCCCGGCCTCTGTCTCACTCGCACACTTAGGCTCTCGCTTGCACACAGTCTCTCTCTATATATCTCCTTCTCCTTCTCGGTCTGCATCTTCCCTATCTCTGTATCTCTTTCTCTAGTTAGCAAAGGTTTGAAGCAATGCCATATTAATTCGTGTAGCCGTAGTTTGTTTATTAAGTGAAAAGCGCAACAAGGATCCTGTTTCTATTACCAATTTCAAGTATATTCTGTGGAATTTCAATTTCGAAAATATATAGATTTTTTAACTATTAGATTCCATTAGATCTTGAGTTGATCTTGAGAACGAAATTGATTTAAATGAAGGTGTATTTGGATTGGCATTAGAAACAGGGTCAAAACAAAGGCTTTATAATGACAAGATGCTTAAGGGCCATACTTTGAAGTAAGCAAATGCGTATATATGCGTACAGATCTAGAATGCTTACCAAAGTTTCAAGAGAGTCTAAAGTGGCGTTACTCACCTTGTCATTATAAGGTCCTTGTTCATAAGAAAGCATTTTAGATGCGGTAAACAACCATTATGCATACAAAGATTCTAGTCCAAAAAAAACCTTTGTCTTCAAAAGCAGATGAGCAGGTGAGCAGGCTTAGGCGTTGCGAGTCGGAGATTCTCCTCCAATATATATTCGATTAAATCCAGTTGACGAAGCGCGTTTGTTCCACCTACCGTTCGCTGCTTTCCTATTAATGAAAATAATTTAAAAACACACACATACACATTTTTTTTTTTCCCTTCTATGAACACACTTTCCTCAACGAAATAGACTGAGAAACGCAAAATCCAATTAAGTAACCGCCACGTAGAGAACTCGGGGTAAAGTTAGGAGCGGAATCTGCCCACACTGCCAAGTCAGAGCCACGAGCCATATTTCGAAATTACAACTAACTTTTAATCAAACTAACTACACTATTAACCTTAACCTAAAGATAAACATTAAACATAACGAACGCAAGCAAAAACAAAACAAAAAAATAATGAAAACATTACAAAAAAAAAGAAGGAAGGAAACACATTAAATGCCCGTAGGAAGTTAGCTGCGATTTTAGGGTTGTCGCATTATCAAAGAGCAGGCGGCCAGTGTTGCCAGAAACCATTTGTAAATTATTTAACCTAACCTAAGGCATTATCGAACACTAGTTTTTGTAAATATTTTCCAATCGCGCCTAGTTTGTAGTCGATCTTTTTTTGTTGAGAGATGAGGAGAACCGTGGAATTAATATAGTAACTTGCATTTCAGCATCAAAAGCAACTCCGCATTTAAGCTCAAACATTGAATTTAATTTTTACAAAAACCCAAAAAGCAAAATACTACCAAACCCGTATTCCCCATTCTCCAAACTAATATATGAATAATAAATAAAATTGCCAACTTTTGCAGCCATCGCAGGGCATTTTTGCATTTATAAAAGCAGCAAAAGAAAACGAGAAATTGTATAAAGTTTAAACATTTATATAAGAGTATTAAATTAAATGTAATCCTAGTTGTAAACGAAAACAGAAGAAAATGAAATATCTATCAAGCATTAAAACCTATTGTCTTTAAATTTAATATTTATATTACGTGGTAGAAGCAACAATTTAACTGTTGGCATTTCAAACCATTTCAATACGAAACAAAACAAAAGGACGAATGAGGATGTTTGGAAGTATATATTATAAAGTATATGATATAGCTACAACTATGTGTGTAATGTTTTAAGCACCTATAACTACTTCTATAAACAAAAATACGAAAAAGCTGTAATAAAAAAAACATTATACAAAATATTACTTTCTTATTTATTTTCTTATCGTTTCCACCTTATGTTTTTATGCATGACGAGTAAGTATTTTTCGTTGGTTAATTTCGTGACATTTTTGGTTGATTTGTAGCCTTTACAAGAGAGTCCCTCAAACACTTATACGTATCATTAAAACGAAGCTCTCCAAGTTAGGCAAGCAAAGCAAAAGATAATAACAAAAAAAGAAAAAGAGTAAACATTTATTAGCAAATTTTTCTACACGACGTACAATGTTTAATATACAATATAATAAACCCAAAACCCAAAATAATGCAACCACTTACGCGTACTATTTGATGTTGTTAATAAGCTTAAACAAATATGCTAGCTAGTAGCGTTTAGTTTAGTTCCCTAAGAATGTGCGGAAGGACCCGGAAGGACCTATGCAGTTCTCCTTTAGTTCGTGGCGTACATAGCAAACGCTTTTATCTATACTTACAAATATTAAAGGCTAACGAGTGTAACGAATATACGTAAATGAAAAAAAAACCAAAAAGGCAAAATGTAAAAATAATTAATGCAAATATAGTTCTGTTTAAGCGAATCGAAAATATTTTCCGTTGATTTTTGTGATTGAGAATTCATTTACTAAATTGATGAACAGAAATTGATTGCAATTTGCGAATGTATACGATTTTTTAATTTTAAAAAGAAAGAACGAAAGAAAATATTTCATAGCGGAGTGGATTTTAGATTGATAGGTCAGGATAGAGCTGGATGGAAGGCTGGACGGTGATTGATGGATTAGTGGAAGTTACACGGCAACCAGAAACTTGACGTCAAGCGTAGTTGTGAATTGTATTTTGTGAAATGTAATTTAATAACAAAATAAACAAAGCCCAAAGCAAATATATATACAATGCATATTTAAATGAATCGAACGTGCGCACAGAGGAACTGGCAGCAGAATTCTCTAACGAAAATTCATGCCGACATTATTTTATTTACAAGGAAAATGCATTTTAAAGATATAAATCAAAACAGAGCGAGGTAACGTTGTTGATTGTGAATTCACTTTTATGCACACATAAAAACATATAGCAGCAACAATACAAGTCGAGAATCAAATGCGTTAACAACAACAACAGAATATACGAAATGCAGCCGCAAAAACAATAATATTAAATACATTTGTAATTGAACAAGAAAAACCATTTAAAATAAAATTTAACAACATAACAAATCGACTTTACTTGAGTGGGAATGGGTAGATGGAGGTGAAAAGAGCTGGAAAGGATAAATCTTATATTCCTTAGGCCAAATGAATCCTTTTGGTCAAAATATTATATTTTGAACTTACATTTGAAAAATTGATTGATTCTTTTAGTCTTAAAATTGTCATTATTTAATAATAAAATCTTTGCTTTTGTCAGCTTCAATTTGACCAATTTGATCAATACTTATTTTCGCATTATTTAATTTTTATTTCTAAAGAGATACGGCGATTTTCAGCCAAAGCTTAAGGCTTCTTAAATTATTTTTATATTTATATTTTTGTTTGCGTATCATATCATATAATTAGTGCGATGATCCGCTGATTTTACCCTGCTAACAATTTTACTGTTTTTATTTTGCAATTCATTTTCCGAGTTAATTTACAATTGTTCTAATTGGAAGTACGATCGGGGCCGCAACAAGGCTATTTGAACTTAACATTTTTATTTTAATCAAATATGCCATGACGGTTTTGGGTCATTAAAACTATGGATGCGGTATTGTTAATTAACGAATATTGTTTGTCTTTATATTTATCTTTAAATTGATCACGTTTTTACCAAACATGGAACAATTTAAAAATTTTCCACCTACTTTTTTTGCATTCGTTTTCTAAACGTTTGTCAATTTTACATAAATGAATAAAATAAAATATGTATGGCACTAGCCATACTAGGCATAGGTGATTGTTTTTATTTATAAAAATATATGTTAAAGTTAAAAAAAATCTAGAGATAAAGTTGAAATTACCAAATTCAATTCCCTAAACAAACAAAATGTTTTTATTAATTGATTAATGTACAAAAGTACTTATTACCATAACCATTTATCGAAAATTAGAAAATCATAATACTTCCTAAATCGTAATAGAGTTTTACAGCTGCATTTTACAATGGCAAACAAAAATAATTATATTCGTAAGATGTAAAATAAATTGATCTAAAATCAAGTCCTTGAACTAAAAATGTAGAATAAATCCCCAATAATATGCTACACAATACAGTTTTACGAATGTAGCATACTTTCAGGGTTCAAATGTTACATAGAATGATATAAGAAAAGCAGTGTAACTATTAGTCCAACTGGAAAATACAGTCGGAATCATATCCCAATTTGAAGAAGCAGTGCGATATATCGTTTTCAATAATCAGTTCTAAAGCAGTATCTACCAGCAAGCAGTTCGAAAATGAAGCAGTTCCGCGATAGTCGTGTCAAAAACCGGAAGTCGATAAATGGGTACTAAATATGAATTTGTATTATTCTTTCAAAGCGATGCAGGAGTTCATTGGAAATATATTTTAACATTTTGACACATGTAACAAAATATATCTCAAATAATATTTCCATATAATTGAAAAGGATTTTAAACCTATTCCATGTTTCTCTGAATATGTTATATTCATACTTATGATTGGCAATTAGTTATAATACCCTTTCTTCGATACCATATCTTGTATAAAAAATGTATCAAATCGTTCGATTTCCCCTCAAGAAATCACCACCATCTGACAGACATTTGGTGTAAGAAGGGCCTGCTTCGTAACAAAACAATCCAAATAAACAAAGCGGTGAACTGGACTTGTTGAGCGGGTGCAACAGGTCAGATGTCCTAGCAACGCAGCACAAACAGCGTAAAGGAGCTCAAGTTCAGCTGTTGCATTGGCAACGGGCGTGCGACGGAATGTTTAATCGATAGCCACCAACGGACAAGGACCACGCCATAACAAACAGCAAATTCCAAGAGCAGCCAGTTCCTCCAGCAATGTCGCGCTACAAAAAGTGATTGGTAAGCGTAAAAACCCAGGCTAAACTGAGCGCACAAGGATCGGGATCGGATCATGGGGAATACGGAGAGCAATGTGACCAGTGGAGTCAAGAAGCAGGCTGGAGTCTCCACTCAGGCCCTCTACAAGTTCGTGAACCTCAAGGGCGGCGGCCTGCTGGTGGACATGATGAAGAGGGCCTGCCAAACGAAACAGTTTGCCGAGATTGATCACGCCATCAAGACCAAGGTGGAGCCCTTTCTGTACAACAAGGGCGCCGGACGATACTTCCCCATCTCAAAGCTGGTCCTGCTGCGGAACAGGGATCGACCTCGCACCCGCCAGCTGCCAGAGATCCGGGCCTTAGAGAATCCTGATGACGACTTCAACATCCACGACTACTGCCCGGAGGTGTCCGAGGCCGAATACATCTCCAATCCGAGTGCCTATCGATTCGTCTGCTGGGATCTGAATGTGAGTAAGCTGGGAAATCTGCAAGGATTTAGGTTAAATCAGGTCATTTGATTTGAAAGTGTCATATTCCTATATTGATTAACCGAAACTACATGACTTTTGAGAGACAAATTGCCAAATTTCAGTTACCTTGCATAAATTTCAGGCATATTGACCTCATTAGTGTAACAACCGTAACAGTTTGACTATATACCAAGACCGCTCAATAATTGCAATTGCATTGCTCAATAAAATATATATGAATTTGATGAATTTAAGAGATATTAAGACTTTAATTTTTTATTACTTATACTTTATATTCTCATTAACTATTCTCCATTTCAGATGCGTGGTGCTGTTGGCGAAACCATTCTCCATTTGTGCCTGTTGAACGCCTCTTCGCTGCACGCTGATCTCGCCAAGCGACTGCTCAAGTTCTATCCAAAACTCATTCTGGATATATACATGAGTGACGAGTACTACGGAGAGAGTGTCCTGCATATAGCCATTGTAAACGAAGACCCGGCTATGGTAAAGTATTTGCTAGATGCTAATGCCGATGTTCAAGAGCGGTGAGTTTAAAAACAACTCCCTCAGTTGATCAATTATTAAAGTAAATTTCTATTTAACTTACCAGCTGTTGTGGCGCGTTTATGTCAGCGGAGGACACAAAATTCTCCCGCACAGATTCACCAGATCATGAGTACGTGGCTCTCTGTCCCATGACCAACTACGATGGTTATGTCTATTGGGGGAATATCCCCTAAGTTTCGCCGCCTGCCTTTCGCAGGAGGAGTGCTTCCGGTTGGTTTTGGCCCGAGGAGCCGATCCCGACTTCCAGGACACCAACGGCAACACCGTTCTCCACATGCTGGTCATCTACGAAAAGATCGAAATGTTCGATGTGGGCTACGAGGTAGGATCTAATATCCACGTGAAGAACATACAGAATCTCACGCCCCTCACCTTGGCTGCCAAGTTGGGCAGAGTGGAGATGTTCTTCCATGTGATGAGCATCGAGAGGGAGATTTACTGGCAATTGGGAAGCATCACTTGCGCCGCTTATCCCCTTCTGATGATAGACACCATCAACGAGGAGACCGGCAATATCAACAAGGACTCTGTTCTGAATTTCGTGGTGTTCGGGGATAAGCTTGAGCATCTGGAGCTGCTCGATGGAGTGGTCATTGATCTGCTCAAGACCAAGTGGGACACGTTCTGCAAGTCTCGGTTCTATAAGCAGTTCTACATGTTCGCCTTCTACTTCCTAATATCGCTGTTTAGCTTTATTTTGCGACCAGGACCGGACAACAGCGATGAGGAGGAGGATGGAGCCAACAGCACCACGGTTAAAAATGATCTGTACAGACAGAATGGCTCCGAGTCCTTACACCGTCAGACAAAAAGGGGATCTTTAAGTACCGAATACAGTATGTCTTGTGGAATATATGTATCTGAAGTATCAAATAATATAATAATTTACACCTTTTCAGAAACCTTTTGGTTGAACTTTACCGATTACTATGATCCCTCTGAGGTTGAGGTCCTGCCTGCCTGGTGGGAAAGCTATGCCCAGTGTCCACTGATGAATCTCGAATCCGATTTGGCTAAGCTTCGAATTATGGCGGAACTAATCAACTTTGTGGGAGCTATCCTATATCTTCTGGTGGCTCTACGCGAGGCTCGTTTCTTGGGCTACAAAATGTTTATTGAGAATTTGGTAAGTGCATCTGTAAATTGAACTAAGAAGTTGTGTATTTAGTGCTTTCTTTAGATGACGGCTCCTTCGCGGGTTATGTTTCTGTTTTCGTGTGCCCTAATGATGACCATTCCCTGGCTGAGAGTGTCCTGTCTCACCGAGATCGATGACCATGTGACTGTTGTGATAATGCTAACCACTGCTCCCTACTTTCTGTTCTTCTGTCGGTGAGTTGTGTATTCCAAATATAAACTATTTGTATATCATTTAACTATATATTCATTACAGTGGCTTCAAGACCGTTGGTCCCTTCGTAGTGATGATATACCGCATGGTCATGGGAGATCTGCTGCGATTCGTCTCCATTTATTTGGTGTTTGTGATGGGCTTCTCCCAGGCCTTCTATATAATTTTTCTGACCTTTGACAACCCATCGACACCGGAAGATCAGGATGCGGAATCCAATCCGATGCCCTCGCCCATGGAGTCCATAGTGGCCATGTTCCTGATGTCTCTTACCAACTTTGGAGACTACTACGGGGCGATGGTGTCCACGCAGCACGAGTACGAGGCAAAGATCCTGTTCTTCCTTTTCATGGTGATAGTGAGCGTGCTCCTGGTTAACATGTTGATTGCCATGATGGGAAATACCTACCAGAAGATCGCCGAGATCCGCAACGAGTGGCAGCGTCAGTGGGCGAGAATCGTCCTTGTGGTGGAAAGGAGTGTCCCGCCCGCCGAGCGATTGAAGAACTTTATGCACTATAGTCAACCGATGTCGGATGGGCGACGGGCCCTGGTTCTGCGCCTGAATATGACAGTAGGTATACATTAATTTTAAAGAACAATCACAGTAATACAACTCATTTTAGGACGAGGAGAAAGAGGAGATGAAGGAGGTGCAGGAGATGAAGCGCATTCATCAGCGATTCTCCAACAAGCGGCAAATGGAGAGGGAGGCCCGTGCTCGTCGGCGCCAGCAGGAGTACGAGAAATTCTTTGGCGCCGCCCCCAAGTCGGATAGCTCAGAAAACAATAACTTTTAATGTGTAACTAGAGAAGCCAGAGTCACTTAATTAGTTCAAGTTTTATTGAGCCTTGTTAAAATGTATTCGTTTTATGCAATAAATTAAGAGTCTACATTGCGTTTCACAACCAAAGCCAAGTCTAATTTTTAAATTTAAGTTTTGCATTTCCGAATCGAGTGCTTGAAGCACTTGCCGCTTCAACTTCTATCACAGTCATTGACACATAATCGATGACTTATTTAGGGGAACTCCACAAATCTGTGGCACAAGTGTCAATGCATGCGAATGACAGGATGCCCAAACAAACAAATATCAACATCAAATTCACTCAAAATAACATTTAACAAAATCAATGTGCTTAAAAAGTTTACCCCCAAAAAAGAGGAAGACTGAAAAAATGTACAACAAAAGCCTCGAACAATCATCCATTTTCCGGTGGGTACTGCGTAAATTTGCATTTCCCTGTGGAGGGAGTGGAGCCATAACTCAACGACTCGCACACTTTTCCAGCTCTCATGTGCGTTGACAGTTCTAAATCAAAGAGTAAAAAAAGTAAAGCACAAGTGCAAACAGAGCCCACAAAGGTCAAACCCTCAACCCCCTGCGAAACTCAACCCTCTTTATCGGCAAAATAAATTGCAAACTCTCCTTTGCACTTTGATTTGCATAAATAATTTACTTTAAACAAACTCTCGAGTATCGGGTAAAGAAAGCAAAGAAATTTCTGCCAAGAAAAAGGCATCGGAAAAAGGAGGAGACCGTCCGGAGAAAGCCAAATTTCTTTTGAGTTCACCTGGGAATGGACCATAATTCTTATTTGAACATTTGTTTAACCATTTCCCTTCTCCCACAACACAAATTCTCAAGGGTTCTCCTTTCAAATTTCGCTTTTTCTTGTTTTTTTTCTTAAAAAACTTGCCCGTCAAAACAATTACGATAGTTAAGGCCAAATCACAGACGGCATTTAAAAGTCATTTGGCGAACGCCCCTCACAGAAATTGCGCTATAAACGATGTTGCTCAAGAATCATAAAGCATCCCATTTTCCGGGAATATCTACAATGTGAAAAACTGCCCGTTCGCATTACCATTTTCGCATTTTCCCCGTCCCATTACCTTTCAGCGCTTTTATTGTTATTGTTTTACAATGTTTGTGTGTGTGTTCCGAGGGCGTAATTAAACAACTCTCTCAGCCTTTTTTATGACGGGAAATTTCTCAAGTCGACTGGACAAACAAGATGCATATCGCAGGATTTTGTAAAGTGTTATTACCTTACCTTAGAAAGTAGTTAAGTACTTGGATCTTGTTAAAATTATATTGAATAGGTATTGTTTACTAGAAAAAGAAGCTAAAGAGTAGTATTTATATTAAGATTATTCTTCAGGGAATTATTTTGAATTTGTCATAAACCATTAGAATCATTTCAATTCATCATCCAGTGTTTAGGTTGGTGAAAATATTTACATTCAACAATTAGGGGAAGTGGGCGTTGACTCGGCTCTGGGGGCGTGCCCACACCATTGACAGCTGCCGGTGAGGCTGGTCCAAAACATGTGATTACGCAACGAACTCGACACCTAGGACGCAGACTCAGACTCCGAGGTGTGTAATTACATGGCCAGGACACAATGGAAAGCCAATCGCCAGCGCTGGGAACATACTTTCTGGCCACACTGTGACACATTCAAATGTTAATTGTCCGCCAAGAACGGGGTGACTGTGTGTGTGTGTGGGGCGGTGGTGAGGAGCCAAGCTAAACCCCTTTTGTTGTGATCACGAGGGGTGTGACACCATATCATTAACGCCACACCGAGGGAAAACAATTTTTCCAGCGGAACTTGGCTGAGAACTTTTTGCGCAGATCGGAGACGGAATGAGAGTCCCGATCGCAGCGGGCACTAAATTGCTCTATTCAAACTCAATTAAAGTCAAGCTGAGAGAGCTCCGATTGTGAGTGATCCCTGCCCTTTAACACTTTCAGATGCCGCTTTAACCCCCTCCGTTCTCCGTTCTCCGTTCTCCGTTCTCCTTTGTCCGCGACTCTCAACAAAGACGGCTGCTAAACGCTTCCGGTGAAGAGAGAACCTGAAGGATCCGACCTGACACCGCGCGGATCGCCTGGGTTCCCGATCCCGATCCCACGCATTATCCAACAACGCTCCCATTGATGTCAATCACTGATATCCCTCTCCACGAGGCCAACAATGCAAGGTGTCGGTCCTTTGTGTCCTCTTATCTATATCTTTTCCTTTCAGCCTTTCAGAATTCAGACTTCATCTTTTCTATTCCGGGCTTTGTGTTGCTGCTACAATTGCAATTACGTAATCGTTATCGTGATGTGCAAATCGATAAACGGATGTTGTTTCTCCCCCAAGACACATTAGACTCCATCTTTATTGGCCCAGACTGGTCGCATAAAAGTTGTTTGATTAATTCAAATGGCCGCCACTTGCCGCGAATCTTTTCTGTTTGCCAACTCATAAAGCGGAACTTTTACGGCTCAAACAGATGGCTCCAGGGTGGGTCATAAAGGAGTGATAAACCGGATACGAAGAGGACATTCCAAGTCTGCGGCATTAAAGAAACTTTGTTAGAGGGGAAAATCCTTGCTTATAGTTATTGCTCTTGTAGAAAGGTCATTATAAATACATAAATTAAAAATATATATATTTAAAGGTATTTGAAATTTTAAAGAAATGTAGCTATAAAAAAATCAATACCAATTTATATATTATAGCTTTTTAAAGAAATTCTTTAAGAGATATTGTTTTCTTTTACATTTCTCATCTAAATATATTGGTTTTTATATTTCTGTATTTATGTATATATTTTTATAAAATTCAAATAAACCTGTCTAAATAGGCTCGTATGGTCATACTGATAAAAAATACACGAAAGATTCTTGAGCTTCTAATTGTTTAAGCATATCTCTTAAACTTTCTATAATATCAATATAATTTTTAAGCATTTAAGGAAGAATTTAACCTGAAATAAAAAGACTTTCCTTAAACATATTTAATAAAACCAAAAATATAATAATAAGAGAAAAACTTGGAACAAAAAACATTTATGTTAAGAGAAAAGAATTGAATGAAATTTCTTTAAGTCAGTCTAAAACTTTAATAGCTATGGCTGCCCCCATCTGTAGCTTTAGTTTATAACTTTAAGAATACAGTATGAAAACAAATAAATGACTACGAATATAATTTTGTATTCCATAACAATCTTTCAAGGCACATGTGTAAACTCACCTTTAATGTATTGATCTAATACTCGTTAACATCTTCCCCATCGCTTCAATAAAACTCCTCGATTTGATTGAAAACCACTTGAAATTCAATGGTGTGGGGAGGGGCGGTGAGGGCTGGAGAGCAAAGGAAAATAAAAACAAAATTCGAGGAGAAAAAACCGCAAAGTTTTAATTGAATTTACTGAACAACATAATGTTTTGCCACTTGAGTCTCGCGGGAGGACGCTAAGCAAACAATCAACAACAACAGCGGCCACAAAAACGTTGACGGCGACGCCGGCAAGTCTGAATGACTGAATGACTGACTGACTGACTGATTGACGGCCAGATTGAATTGAATCTAGATGGGGGGAGGGGGCATTCTGCTACGCCTTGGTCTAGATATGCATACACACTCGGAGCTAGAATTCAATTCGCCAAATCAAATCACTTGAGTGAAAATGTTGCATTCAGCCAAAGAAAATACCTAGAAAAATACACAAAAAACGGGTTAGAAAGGGGGCTGTGGTGTCAAGGTGTCTTTGAATTGCTTAAAGGCCGCTTTGATCTCCGGCAGCATTAAACGCGCTCAATCAAACCCTTTGACTTTGAGGGAAACCATTTGCCAAATGACTAAAATTAATTACGCGAAGAAGCCACAGGAAAATAAAGCGGACCAAGGCGCAGGTGAACACCAAAAGGATAATAGAAATGGGTCTTTGAAAGCTAGGCGAGGCTTTAATTAAAGCTAGATTGGTGGGGAATAAAATTACTAAAAGGTGTTTAAGGACATCTTTAAAGCAATTGAACTTACCAAAGAGAAATCTACCTTTCTCTAAAACAATCAATGTTTTAAGTAAAATGTTTAAACATTATTATAAGTTTTTGGTTTTATTGCTACAAATCTGTAACTATTTGATATAGGAGAATTGAAAATGAAGTCCTTGATCATTACTGTATACTTTAAAGTTAAAAAACCGCTAAAAACCAGAGAAGGCGTTTACCAATCAAGGTACAAGATTGCAGGCTGTCAAAGCGATTCACATCGTCACATCCTGCGGGGTTGGAAAACTGCCTTTGACAGCCTCTCCTCCCATCAGGTGGAGTGGACCTCATTTGGCTGCGGTTTCACTGGGAACACGCCCACTTCGCCCCCGAAAACATTGGTGTTTCTTTTTGCCCTCGGGCCACAAAAGCCTAAAATTTGGACACAAATTTCTGATTTTTCGGCAGCTAATCCAGGAAATCAAGCTGTACCCAGGACTGCTAAGTCCGTTCCAACTGTGTTGGTCGTAAACACACACCGTGGGATTCGGCACGCCAGCCCGGAAGGAAACTCACCTCTTCTCCATTCGGTTCCAGAATCCTAGGCACTCCACTCCGCTGGCCTGGTCGGGACCCACTTGAGCAGAAGTCGCCTCGAGTGGGCACTTTGACGGCGACGATTTGCTCGGAGAGGAGCGACAACAAAAATTATGCCTACACTGGGGGAAAATAGGGATCAAACTTAAGGAAACAATCATTGAAATGAAGGAAAAACTCTCCCACAAACGAGAGAACTAGTCGAAGGATTAAGGGTTAGTATTGCAAGATTTTTATTACATTAAATTCCATGTCTAAGATTTATACCCCTACTTATTCCCCAGTGTATCGAGGCTCTTATTATTTAAATACTTGCCCCCTCCCTTTGAAGTCAACCCCTAAAATGGCAAGGAGAAAAGTATGCAAAAAGAATGGAAATGAAATGAAATATGAAAACGAGGCATAAAGAAATTTGACTCAAGGATCGCGGCGGTTCGTTAAGTGGCTCGTTTCGATTACAAGCGGGTGAAAAAGGCCTCGGCGAAGGACAAGATCCCAGGCAGAGTCGTAAGTTAACCCCACCGGCCCGCCACTCGAACTTCGTTTAAGAAATTAACATCGTTTAGTCCAAGTGGCATCGGCCAAGAACAATGGAGGCCGAGAAGACGGCGAAGGAGCTGCGGGGGAAATGTGTGAAGGTTGCTGGGTTAATCTGTTATGACATCTAGGACCTGGAACGGCAATGGTCTCTAATCGAGCATGGATTATGAGTGGCCATCGAAGACCTACGCTCTGACAGCTCCGACAATTGGATTTGCCTGGCATTTTCCCACATTCATCCAGGGCTGGGCAACTCGACGCGGGCTTACACATGTTTTTCACAGAGCAATTATCCTTTTGGCAAACACCGCAAGTTGCTTGGTGAATTGTTCTTCCCGGGATGATATTGCGAAATATTATCAGTCTTGTGTTTAACAATAGCTGACCCCGGAAATAGTGTTCTGTACAAATCGGTAAACAACGAGATTGTTTCCTCGAGTTTTTCTGTGAATGGAGGCAGGACAATGGGTGCACCGAACGGATACAAAAGTTGTAGGGATTGTGCAACAGCCATGACACTACGAGAACCGCTTTGCATCAGGTGAAGCCGAAACGGAAGTCGACGGCACATGTGAGCGTCCTTCTTTCCTGGAGTCCCATACAGTCCTTTTCGCCGAAGAATGGTCCGTTTTGTTCCTCTAATGATCTGAGCTTGGGATGAGCTGAGAGGCAAAATTCCTGGGACATTTTTAGCCATTTATTGTCACAAATCACGCCCGGTTCTGGAAATCCGAACTCACAAGTAATGGGAAAAATTATATTGTAATCCAATTTCTTTCTTTCAACCGGGTCTGCTCAGTTTCCTCATTTCGTTATGGTTGAATAATTCGAATACAGCGAACATTAATTCACACATGTGCTGCGTTATCTCATTACAACACTCCAATCAAGGATTATCAAAAGTTTATATTATCCCTAGCAGGACCCAGACCTTTCCTCCTACAATCTCTCCCTTCGAATGGACATCAAACGATAAAAGCGCCATAATTTTTCATTTTTCCAACCCAAAACGATGCGCAGAAGAGCAGCAGAAAGGCAGAAGAAAGGAAGGGAAATTCGTGAGCATGCCAAAAATGCTCTTAACTGCAATGACATGTGAAAAGCGACGAAATCCGTGAGGCAATCAAATGGACACGTACAGCGGCAGCAAAAGGAAATCAAAGGGAAAATCTAGTGGGTGGAAAATGGAAATGCGAAATGTACAATGGTCGAACTAAAAACGTGAGAAAATCCAGCTAAAACGATTCATTTTCCATCTGCCGACGCCAGGTGTGAGACGATCTGAATTATATAACTAGAATATACATAAATCTAAATGGGGGTAAATCGAGTATAACTTGCAAAAATGATACATATTCCGTATTAATAATTGAACAATTCAATCAGTCGAACAAAGGTTGGAATGTAACCTCATTTGGCTTTTATGTTCGTTTTTCATTTTTATCATTATCATTGATGCTCGCCATTCAGAGTATTGTTAAGCCGCACATTTGCTTGATTGTTCCTGAATTTAATTAAAAAAGTATAAATACAAAAAATTATATTTGCGGAATACAACAACAACAGCAACAAAAAGAAACCAGCTCCCCAAATGACAATTGAGTGACAACAACAACAACGATCAACAATCGAAAGCAACAACAATGGAGGAACAAACAATGAATGAATATCTCTCATTCTCCACAGAGAATCGGAGAATGAGAATCGAGACTCGGAATGGGTTAAACTGGGGTTAAGCGGGACCGCCGGTGAGGGTGTTTTCTGGCGACAGGATAATGGTTAATATTGTTTTCGGATAATAGTAATCACAGGAACAACTTGACTTAACTCTCACCTGTCATCAAGCGATAAGGTAAAAATTGTAATTTGCGAATTTAGCTTATAGAATGAAAAAATTATACGTAAGTCCTTCAACTTTATAGAAGAAAATTAAGAGATTATATGAATTGCGACCTTTTTGTATACATTAAAGAGATTTTGGATTGCATTTAGCAAAAGCCCAAAAATAATATATAATAATATGCACTCAAGCCGAAGGCTGCTTTTAGATCTCGGGTGTTGAAGCTGATTAAGAATAAGAATAATGAATAAAATTATAATACCTGCAAGGGTATGACAAGTAATGAAGGTAACTTCAGAGAGGCAAACTTTGTGTAATTTGCCCAAGTCGATTCCAAAAATATAATGACTGGAGGTCTATTACGAATCTTTATTTAAAGCATAGAAGATATCAGCATTTTTAGAGATTGACGTATAAATATAGCTTTGTATATCTCGGAGACGATGTTGATCTTAATACATCCTGTATTGAAAATCCATGAAAGTATTATATTTCTTCAAATTTTTTAAAGACAGAGTTGGTCCGGTTCATCCAAAAAGGCTATCTATATATGGAATTTAACTGAAAATTAATCGGTTTTGGGAATAATATAAATCAATATCAATCAAGATAGTAGCGAGGAGTATTTAAAATTATAAAAATTTTCATATTCTTTGCAAGTAAACAGGGAGGAAAAAATCATAAGCTAAATTGAAAGGTTGAAATATTTTTAATAATTACTACTTACTCACTTATATGTCAATGGTAATTGCTTAAAAATTTTACATTTTACAATATATATATTTAAAATATATACATATGTATATAACAAAAATATTATTCTAATTATAATCGAAAAAAGAATTTTTGTATCTTCATTTAAATGTTCCGTATAATCAAGTACTTTATGTATTATTATATCATAAACGATAGTTTGTCTTTATTTTAAAAAACCCTAATGTTAGAATAGAGATTTCTAAATCTGCCTAATTTCTAACGTCCTCAAAATTTTAAACAATTCAGGTTCCACCTTGGTTATAAAAAGTAATCAAGTTTTTGTTTTACTAAGTTTTAAAATTCTTTAAAATCACTCTTCTAAATAAATATTATATATTCTAAATATTAAACAATTCTTGACTTTAGATATAGCTAAAATATCAACAAATAAATATCTTTAATAAAAGACAGTATCAAAAACCTACAAATGTTGACATATCATGACGCAAATAGACATATTTGTTCATGGGGAATACAATACATTTCGCTGAAAATGAGAAATAGGACCACAGATTCAGAAAAATCATAAATGGCATTCAAGTCCCAGAAAGCAAAAGCCGCTAAATGTATATTTTCGTGGATTTATCTCACTCTCTGCGCCATTATCACTCACTTAGTGTCCTCGTCCGCTAAGTGAAATGCTGAATACTTAGAAAAGGAAATGTGGCCCGAGCAAAACTTTTTCCATTACACAACGTACAACAGTTTTTTTCTTTCATTATTATTTCAGTCCCGTTGTTGTTGCCGTTGTCCTTTCGTCCTCTTTCTTTTTTTTTTTTTTGGGCGAAAGCAGACACAAAGGAACGTTGAGAACGCTGAAAGCTTTTTATGCTCTTACGCTATGTATGGGCCAGGTATAAGAGCTTTGTAAATGCAATTGGAAATTGCACTAAGCTCTGCGTGCTGGTGTGCGTGTGCGAGAAAAGGAAAGAGAAAGAGCAAGTAGAATGGGTTGGACTAGCTTTGGTTTTAAGGTTATGGGGTTTGGAATTTATGGAATAAAAATGCAAAAATATTTACATCTAACGAAGGATATACTATCTTCATTCTCAAATGTTTATTCTTAAGGCAGAAATACTTTAAAGATTATTTATGTTAAAATAACTTTCTATATTTACATACATACTGACACCTTAATAAAATTATATTTATATTTTAAGGCTTTTGTGTCGTTTATTTTAAATAATAGGGGCCAAGCGACTTTTGTAATCAAGCTCCTCTGGGCCTCTGAATCTGGGCGAAGATTCGCCTCACTTCCACTCTTCCTTTATTCTCGCTCGCTTTTCTATGGCCAAATAAGTAAATAATTGCAGTAATATCCTTTTTGGAGCGGCCAGGAAGAAGTGAAAAAAGGGAACGGAAAAGAATGGCGAAGAATGGCGGGCGAAATGAAAGAATGCGAGAATGGAGAGCGGGGCCAGAGAATGGAAAGCGTGTTTCCATGTCCTTTTCACAAACTAAAAAGTCCTTTCACACACACACACACACACACTCCCAGGCCGAGGAACACGCGCACAGTTCACATAGAGAGCTGTATATAGCCGAACACAGACACCCACAATGGACAAAAATTCACACCAAGCGCCCATTGTGATTGGCCCAACACACACACTGGCACTCACACACTCACGGGGAGGCAGACTCGCGCTCCCTCTCTCGCCCGCTATCAGTCTCTCTTTCTGGCCGCATGCAAGTTGCGGAAGTGCAACGTCGCTGTGCAAAACAATAACGGAAATTGTGTGCCCACTGTGCGAAAATCAATGTGCTCCCAGGCTCCGGCTCCCGCTCACTTTCCCTCTCTCTCTCGCCCACTGGAATGAGAGCCCGGCAACAAGAACGGCACCAGAGAGAGAGCAGTAAATCGAACAACACGAAGCAGAGCCGAACGGCTGCCTGGCTTTTGCCTCTATTCAGCTCTTCTATTGAACACACCCTCAATGCGAACAACTATAACCGAGATAAAGGAGCCAATGGAACAAAGCCAACAACCGGGCTCGAACAATGGCCCAAACCAAAGAGAGAAGGAGCGATGGTCGGCGAGCGGGCGAGCGAGTGAGAGCGCGCGACGGCGCAGCTCTCTCCCAGGTAACAGACCCAGCATCCGTCCCGCTCTGGCGCTCGCAGCATACCTGGCAGGGTTAGCACCGAAGAGAGAGGTTTCGATTTGGCTCCGGTCGTGTCGGTCTCAATTGAGCGACATACGAATCATTCAAAAAATAACCGTTGAGCCGAGCAGAAGCACTAGCAAGAGCGCAAGCAAAGCAAAGACAGTTGAACACAGAATACAGCAGCGGACATAGCGATAAGGCCAGTTACGCGAAATATAGAAAACAGAAACAGAACATTAGAACTGCACAACCACAGACATTGTGAGCGAAGTGAAGTGTGTTAACCAAGTGAATACCGCAAGGAAAGTGTTCCCAGCCACAGATATGGCCACCTTATCCACGCACCCGAACTACGGCTTCCACTTGGGCCAGGGCCAAGGTCTGGATCTGCCCGCGCCCGGCGACTACGCGCCCCAGGGCCAGTTGCAGCTGAGTCCCGGCATGGACATGGACATCAAGCGCGTGCTGCACTACTCCCAGAGCCTGGCGGCCATGGGCGGATCGCCCGGCGGCAGCAATGTCGGGTCCAACATGGGCCACCACATGTCATCCGGCCACATGGGCTCCCATCACATGCACCAGGCGGTGTCCGCCCAGCAGACCCTCTCCCCGAACAGCTCCATCGGCTCTGCCGGGAGTCTGGGCAGCCAGAGCAGTCTGGGCAGCAACTCCGGCTCCGGAGCCGGCCACCAGTCCTCTGGAATGCACAGCCTGGCCACCTCGCCCGGCCAGGAGGGGCACATCAAGCGGCCGATGAACGCATTTATGGTGTGGTCCCGCCTGCAGCGCCGCCAGATCGCCAAGGACAACCCCAAGATGCACAACTCCGAGATCTCGAAGCGCTTGGGAGCCGAGTGGAAGTTGCTGGCGGAGTCCGAGAAGCGGCCCTTCATCGACGAGGCCAAGCGTCTGAGGGCGCTGCACATGAAGGAGCACCCAGACTACAAGTACCGCCCGCGCCGTAAGCCCAAGAACCCACTCACAGCCGGACCGCAGGGAGGACTTCAGATGCAGAGCCAGCAGATGATGGGACAGCAGAAGCTGGGCGCGGGTGCAGGAGCTGGCGCCGGCGGCTACAATCCGTTCCACCAGTTGCCGCCGTACTTTGCGCCCTCGCACCACCTGGACCAGCCGTACCCGGTGCCATACTTTGGCGGCTTCGATCCCTTGGCCCTGTCCAAGCTCCACCAGTCACAGGCGGCGGCAGCGGCGGCGGTGAATAACCACAACAACAGTCACAGCCACAAGGTGCTGGAGGCCCAGGGTCAGGCCCCGCCCCAGCTACCGCCCACCTCGCTGAGCAGCTTCTACTCGGGCATCTACTCCGGTATCTCGGCGCCCTCTCTGTACGCCGCCCACTCCGCCAACGCCGCCGGACTGTACACATCCTCGTCGACGTCCTCCCCGGGATCCTCGCCCGGCACCATAACGCCCAACGGCATGGACGGCTCCATGGACAGCGCTCTGAGGAGACCCGTCCCGGTGCTCTATTAGGGCCAGCTCCATTAGGGTAGAGTACAGAGTAGAGTACAATTGTTGAAGCATTCCCAAAGTGATCCACTGGTTTTAAATCTTCAAAAGCTCTAAGTAAGCCAATCCTCCAAACACTTAACTCCGCTTAATCCTAGTACAATCTTCGCGCACTTCAGACCTAGGACATAAGACAGACACGCATCATTCCTAGCCAATATACAAACTAAAGCTATAATTTATTTCGCGCACTCACTGGATTTAAGGCAGCACCACAAGAAAGTAATTGTAAATTAATTTTATTTAGTTTTAAGCATTGAGAGAGCGCCTCCTCCTTGTTGTTTTTTTCGTACGAGCATCAGCAACCACTTAAAATGTAGCTTCTAGTTTTAAAAGATTAACCCTCTCAAATTGTAAATATCCCAGCCAATTTCGTTATAGTCTCAGTGTAGCCCAAACGCGAGGAAAAGAACGTACATCAATGTATTATTGTATTATTAATTGTATTAAAATTAAACGTTATTATCTAAGCAAACAAAAATGGTACATGAACAACCAACACAAAGCAAAGACATTTAAAAATGAATAAAAAAAAACAAAATTATCTGAGAAAACCAAATTTTGAAACGAGTCTTATCATTTTCCAACACCTTACAGATTTCTGGGGAAACATGGATTTACAGAGGAAGTTTCCTTATTATTATTATGATGATGGAGATACTTTTCGATGAAAAATAATGTTAGCAGGAACATACATATATTTATTTCCCTAAATTATATATTTGGAGGAATATATTCTTCCTATCTATATTTAAATACCACTGAATTATATATTTGAAAGGTCTTCCCAATCTAAAATACAAGTATTAAAGACTTTTCACCTTCATCGGTTTCTAGATATGGTATTCAGAAACGTGTGTTCATAATTGGATTATCATGTTAGGTTATTTTATTTTCCCCATTTCGGATCTTTTCCATAAAACTTTGAACCAAATTAGTTTATGTTCTCCAATCACATTGAGAGTGTCTACAAAAATTCATTATCAATTTGAATATTCATAAGGCCATTAACATAATATTCTCAACTCGATTGGGTGAGTCATTCGGATAAGCTTTTAAAAAGCACTCATGCCATCATCATCTTAATGCGAATGACTTTTCACCTTTTTGCCGTGTGGATCTTAGCCTGAATTCCTCTCCTTTTACTGAACAAATTAACCTTGTCTCAGGGTTTCTTCGCTATTATTTTACTCATTTTTGTGGGTCTTTGTTTTTGTATTTTTGGTTTGCCTACACCCGCTGGGAGGCGAAGAAGAAAAAACTAAATTTGATTTGCCATTATACAACTATTTGCCGTTGTGTATTAATTTCTATTGATTAATGCGCTGTTTATTTTGCGCCTCCAAGACAGAATCCGATAGTCTGAACAAAGGGTCGTCTCTCCGATCTTCGGATGGGGGTCGCATTGTGTGTTTCTTTTTTTGGGAGCAACGGGGGGCCCTCTATAAGACCTCACTATCCGGAGTGTAACTGAATCCCCTCCCTGGCGAAAGAAATCAACGCGTGTTTTTCCGTTTTGATTTTTGGCTTCTTCTCGTAATAATAATAAGAATAATTGCGGTCATTAATAAATCCACTTGCATTGTCTTCCCGTGATCTCTTCGATTGCCGTTTTCAACTCTTCGGTTTTGGATGGTTATGGTTCCTATTCACCTTGCTCTACCCTTCCCTTCCCTTCTCTTCCCTCTCTGTGTATGTCAAAAGTGTTAAAATATCAAATATTGATTATTGTTGTTATTATGCGTATTGTTGATATTGGTCGTTTTGTTGTTTAGCTTTCTTGTCGTTGTTGTTGTTGCCGTGTATCTCATTCGATATCTACATTTCACAAATATTTACCCAGCATTGACGTGATACTGAATAATTATATAAAGATTGGATTCTTTGGGTTTAGCTCTTTGGGACAGTTTTTGGTTGACGTTGAAAATGGGTTAGTTGATAATAGATAATAGGAGACGTCGACAGAATGGTTCTAGCTAGTATTAGTAGGTAAATAATAGTTAATTAATTAGGAAGCCGTACATTATGTTGTTATATTAATATATTTATATTGATAATTAAGATATTGAAAAAGTGATTCTAACCTGTGAAGTGTATTTATATTTAATCAACTTCATCAGCCTAGTCGATCTAGCCTGTTTGGCTTTCTATTTCAGGTAGTTTATAAATCAGAACGACTACTTCATAATATAGTATTCGTATAATTCATTAGAAAATAACAAAAACCAAAAAATATGTTTGAATAATATTTCCCTTATATTCTAATATAATAATTTAAGATCATTTTGCATACTTAAAACTAAATTTATATACCAAAGATGGTCTTATAAATATAGTCTCAACATTTGTTTATTTTTTTTGTGCACTGACCCCAACCGGAAGTGATTAACCTGCGCTAAAGCCTAATCCAGTCGCACGTTTAAGCCAAGATTAAGCGATAAAACACATCTCACGCCTTCCTGAACCGTAGTTCCCCTCTTTCATCGGGGAAAATGATCGCTCTGATCGCTGTCAAATAATTGAAATTCCACTTCAACTCGTTGGGTTTTTAAGGATTGTCGAATACATTTTATGGCCCGACTCGCCTACGCCTCCTACTCCCGAAAACACGCCTCGACCGATCCATTTGGTCATGTCTGTATACAAATATAATTTGCAGTCCCTGGGTGCTTCGATTTTTTACGACTTTATGGCCGGGGATTAGCGTCCGGTCCGCAGAAAGGAGTGTGCAAAATGTCGCGAGATTTTTATGCATCTATTGGCGAGTGTTTGGGTTGTTGTTGCTATTCCTTGTGGATCGCTTGGCTACCTGAGGTAACTAAGACCCGGATTAGCGACGGCGACAGACTCTTGATTTCCTTCGCGTTTTCCCAAAAATCCTTGCTGTTTTTGTTCACTTTTTTAGGCGAAAGATGCGCTCGCTAATCCGGGGATTAGCGACAAAGGACCAGACGGATTAGCATAACGGTGATACAATTTGCCGGCAAAATGATTGCGACGACCTCGTAGACTCCTAGCCTCGTTTTCCAGCTTTTCACGTTTTCCAAATACCGTTCTTACGCGGAAGGTCCAGTTTATTGGCCATAAACCATTAACTCTATGGAAGATCGGCCTGCAAAGGGGTCAAGCTGTTGTCTGTCAGAGCTCCCTTCGTTCCCTTTCTATATATCTGTACCATCCCAGGATATATCCGCAACATGGCGGCAATGTCTGTCGCCTGTCAATTCCTCCCACTCCCCCCCACTGTTTTGGCTACCCTTTCCCCCTCTTGTGTCACTGGTTGTGCAGCCTAATTTGTGGGTGGTGGCTTTTTGTCAACTGTTTCATATTTACAACGGCCTAACAGGGTTGCTTATCGGGTCACACTGTGCTACATGGATAGGGGACTAACTACAAACTTTGAAATTTAAGAATCTTCTAAGAGGTAATGTAAGATATTCTTTAATTATAATACTCCACATCATTTGTAGTATTAATAATATTTAAAAGTACCGAAAATAGTATTAGAAATATAACAGAAATAAGAATCTTTAAGAGTATAATAAGTATAGCTTAAGTTTAAAATAATGTATGTATATATATAAAAGACAATTAATGTAAAATATCTTTACATAATAATACGTTTTCTAGTGTTGTGTTCCATAGACATTCCCAACTTTATTTAAACTTTGCTGCCTAGTGTCCTGTCTCATATTTCATTCAAAATCGAGAACGACTACCAACTTCAACTCCCTGAAGCACCACCCACGAACTACCCCAGAACCCCAACCCCAACTCCAACCCCCACACCTTCCCAATCCATTCCCATTCCCATACCATACAGTCTGGACGTGAAGCATATTGTCGAGGGTGGCTACAGCAGAGGATACATATATATGTGGCTATAGCTGTATGCCACTGCGACTGTGGCGCGTGGTTGACAAGTAGCAAAGCGTGGCGGCTTTTTAAGTGCTAGTTTGACATTTTTTACTCGGCTTCCACTGCGGTGGTTTCCCGTCCACCGCCACGGCCTCTGATGCCTTCCTGCGCTTCTCCTGCGGCGCTAACCAGCCAACCAGACCGTCAATAAGTCGCAGGCTAACAATTAATTAAAAGCCTCCACCGCACAAAAGCACGGCGCACTTAGGCAAATGAGCAGCGACGACGGCAAAGGCGCTCGTCCCACGTCCCACCTCCGATGTCCCACGGGGCGTATGCGCGATGCCAACTGGGACATAATTTGTCAGCGAGCACTGGGCGTCAAAGCAGCAAGGAAATTGCAGTCGTAAGTGCAAGGATAACGCTGATTTGCCTCGAGTGAAGTCGCGTCGAGTTGTTGTCAACTCAACAGCGTCATTAACATTTGGCACGAACGCCAAATGGAAATTAAATGATGATAAATTCGCAACCAGCCGCAACTTGACAACTGATTGCTGCAACTGGAGTGGCTTCAGAACTGAGAACAGGACCTACCTAGCAGGAAACATTTGCATAAACGACGACTGTTCGGGGCTCATTCAGTTGTATCAAATTTGATTAGGTGCGAGGCATTTGTCAAAGCAGAATGTTTGGCATATTGCGCCCCGACCGGGGCGACAAATTTGTGGTCTGCCATCCAACCCTCCGAAAGCGACGGCGATTGATGAGCTCCGAGCTCTGTCCTCCTGTCTCCAGTGTTCTGTATTTCGAGCTGGACGCTCGGCGTCGAGTGCCAAAACACTTACGCCCTGCATGTGAGCTTGATGAGCAGCAGAGTTTATGATGATCGCAGTCTCAGAATTGAAAAATCACACATACAATTAATTAGCAAAAGAGGGTGAAAAGCTGACAAAGTATCACCATCGTCATTAGCATGCAAATAAGCTGTGAGAGATGATAATACTCAAATAAGTTGACTGATTTTCAGTAAAAAAACTAAAACAATGTATCTCTAAGCCCTACACAGAAAATATAACTTATATATCTAACATTGGTCTGTAATGGATTTAACCATCATAAAGATAAATGAAATAGATTATGCAACGATAATATATATAAATTATGTTCCCGTATTTACTTTTTAATTGAAAAGCTCTTTTAACGAATGAAAAACAAAACTGTTTGGTTTTGTTAAAGCCAAATACCTTACGAATACGAGTATTAAATCCTAACTTACGCTTTGTTAGAATTCAATACAAATATACTCTTTAAAACCTGAATAAGCTTTAAACATCCTATTCTTTGATGCCATTAATTAGTATATAATTCATTTTTAAAGAAAACCCCTGTTTTTCCTTCTCAAAGCCCACTATTATGTGTCCAAGTTACCAATAGAGCTCACATTTTTTCGTAATTATTTATGGGAATATTTATACTTGTTAACATTTTATCAATTGATCCCAGGGTTCTTCTATAGTATTTGAAACTCTTGGCGGGCGTCCAGCGTTCGCATGACAATGGGCCAGCGAAATGAAAGGATTTTTATGACGCGAGCCGAGTGGAAAACT